CCTATCTCTTCCTCCCCGTGCTCATTTCCTCTGGCCAGAGCTCTGCAGTGGCAGAGGACTTGCGCCCACTTCCTGGATCCCAATCAGTCCCTCCAGCGCTCTGTTGCCTACACCTAAATGTGACCATGTGATTCCTCTTCAGCAGTGTCTCCGTTTCCTGTAAGGTAAGGTTTGTGTAGGTCCTCCATCACCTGGTCTTGCCCTTCGTCTCCAGCCTGTCCTCTTCTGTTCCCCATCCACACCTGAGCCTCACTCCCCACTGCACCAGCCACGTAAAACACTTGCATTTCCTGGACCGCAACCAGCGTGACAAAGCATGTCTTTGCTCATGCAGTCCCCCTACCTGGAATACGCTTCCTTCCTCTGCCTGCCTAGAAAATGTGATTCATCTTTCCAGACGCAGCTCATACATCATCTCCTCTATCATGCTTCTGGTGACACTCACTTTTCTTCCTTATTTTGTAAGCTGGGCCTTTTCTCTCTTGGGTCCCATTCCATCCTGTGCAGATGCCAGCATAGCATCTACCATGTTTCATTTTACTGTCGACTCCAGAACTTGGCAGTGCATTTGGGTCATAGTAGGCGCTCGGTCAATGTCTGATTAATTAATTAAATCATCACTCTAAGTCTCAGGGCGCCTGGGTGGCTCAGCATCCGACTTCGGCTCAGGCTGACGGGGTGTGGAGCCTGCCTCGGATCCTCTGACTCCCTCTCTGTCTGCCCCTCTCCCATTGACTCTCATAAATAAATAAATAAGTAAGTAAGTAAGTAAGTAAATAAATAAATAAATTCATTACTTTAAGTCTTGAGCTACTGCTGTTTCCCGTTCTGGCTCTTCTTCCTCTGTCAGCCCTTTGGTAACAACTTTGGTAACAACTTTGCTCACAGTCTGACTTTGCCCTTCTTTGTTTTTGCCACCACCCTCCTGGATATCTCTCAAATTCACTTAGGCCTCTCCATCTCTCTACTGCTACTGCCCTAGCCCGAGTTACTATTATCCATCCCTCCGCTGGGTCACTGCAGTAACCTCACAGCCTGTCCTTTCATACCTAATCCACTGTCTTCTAGTTTGCTCCTCTCCCCCAGGTTGAGTGATTGAGAACGCAAGTCTGATCGTGTCACCCTTGCTTATATACCTCTAGTGTAGATCAACCCAATTATCTTACAATAAAAACAAAAGTTCTGAGGGAAGCCACCCCTTCCTGCCTCTTCAAACCCCCCCCTCCCCACCACCATGCTCCACACCCCACCCCCCAACCCCAGAGTCACAGGCTTCCTTGCTTTAGGCTGTTGTCATAGGAGTCTTGTTTTTCCTTTTTGAACTTCCTACCCTCCTTTCTGGCACAGGGCTTTTGAATTTTAACATTCTGTTCTCTCTGATCCTTTGTCTCATCTTGGCCTAGTGGAACCCCAACTCACACTTAGAATTTTGGCTTGCTTTTCCTCCAGGAAGCCTTCCCTGGTTCCCTGTATATATCATAGGCATATACAGTGGGGATCCTGCACCTTCACAGCGCATGGAATTATTGCAATTTATCATTTCCTTGTGTGGTATAGGCCTCTTTTACTAGCCTGAAAGTTCTACGGAGACATGAAAAGGCTGTTTTGGGCTCACCATTATGTCCTCAGGATGTAAGTACATGGCACACAGTAAATGTTCAACAAATGATTTTGGAGCGAATGAAAAAAATGAATTCTCTCAGCCACCGAGATTCAAAACCTTGACATAGTCACTCATTTCATTCCCTGTATCCAGGTCCCAACTTTTACAACTTCCAGTCTCCTCACACCTGGAAGGCGGGTTCCTCCCCATCCCCAATGCTCATGTGCCTATTAGATACCTAAAATATTGCCATATTCCCCTAGCTGATTTCCTTGTCTCTTTCTCTACCCATAATTTATCCTAGATGAGGTGGCACAATCTTCCTTAAAGACCATGTTTATCGTATTATATCCCAAGTCAAAAACCTATAGTGGTTCCTTATTATTACTTAAAATATGTATTTTGCTTGGATTCAAAGACCCCCACAGTCTGGCTCAGATCTGTGGAACTATTTCCTACTTCCCCCTCCTTCCAAATGCCCCACTTTGGAACCTTGCTGATATCCCGGAAACACATCCCCTGAATTCCAGCAACCAGTCCCAGGCCTGGGGCACTCTTTATACACGGTTCCGGTTTGTTTCTGCCCCCTCCATCAAACCCCATCTAGGCCCCAGAGCCCCAGCTCCAGGCGTACCTGTGCAAAGCCCAGCCTGATTTCACCAGCTCTGCCCGTTCCGCCAGCTCTTCCTTTGTCCAGGCCCACAAGTTGCTCTGCCCTCTGCCTGGAACCATCTTTCCCGTCCTCTTGTCCTCAGTGCTTGCTCTTTGGACAGACCATCCCTGGTCATCCATTTCATCTAATGACATTCTCCCATCATTTACTCTCTAGCATGGTACTCGGCTTCTTTCCTTCATGGCCCTCAACACAATCTGTAATCAGTCTGTTGTTTTCTTACCATCTCTCTTCTCAGTTAGACGGTAGGCCTCACGAGATTTTCTGCCCTGTTCTCTGAAATATCCACTGCACCCAGTTCACTATTTTTTTGTTAGTGATTATATGTATTAATATTTTATATATTTTTCCAAACTATCAAATGTTAGTTTTCAACATTTTTCAAATGTTGTTTTCAAATACTATACCAAAAAAAAAAAAAAATAGTGTGCATTTCTTGATTAACAATCCGGAGATAGTAATTCCAAGTTAAAGGTGTTTTTTGGGGCACCTGGGTGGCTCAGTTGGTTGGGCGTCTGACTCTGGCTCAGGTCATGGTCTCACGGTTTGTGAGTTTGAGCCCCGCGTCGGGCTCCGTGCTGACAGCTCAGAGCCTAGAGCCTGCTTCAGATTTTGTGTGTGTCTCTCTCTCTGCCTCACCCCCACTTGCGTTCTGTCTGTCTCTCTCTCAAAAATGAACATTAAGGGGCAACTGGGTGGCTCAGTCGGTTGAGCGACCGACTTCAGCTCAGGTCATGATCTCACAGTTTGTGGTTCGAGCCCCACATCAGGCTCTGTGCTGACTGCTCGCTCAGAGCCTGGAGCCTGCTTCAGATTCTGTGTCTGCTTCTCTCTCTTCCCCTCCCCTTCTCATGCTTTGTCTCACTCTGTTTCTCAAAAATAAATAAATGTAAAAAAAAATTTTTTTAAATGAGCATTAAAAATTTTTAAAAAAGGTGTTTTTCCTCTATTTCAATAGTTTCTTTGAGTTATACTAAGAGGATAATCCACTGAGCCCTCTCTTTGATTGCTTTAGCCTCATAAGCATGAGAATTCTTGCTTTATTTTCCATAAACTCCAAAATTGAGGACATTCTTTTGTAAAAAAAAAAAAAAAAAAGATACCTAAAAAATAATAATTTCAGGGGCTATTTTCTTTTTTCACACTTCTTGAACCCTTTAAATATCAGATTTCACTCTCAAGGTGTTGTTTTCTTATAATGTCAAACACAAAACACAAGAGTGACCAGGACCTCGATGGTGTTCTTAGAAACTGCCATGCTCCAAATTTCTTAAATATCTGTGAATTAATAATAGTACATCTTTCATAAATTCCATTTTGGATAATATTTCTAGATCCCTATGTTTATTTTTCTAAATTCATCTTCCCTCTACTTTTTACTACCCCTTTTAAGAGGCAGAGAGTACTTTAGGGGTGCCTAGGTGGCTCAGTTGGTTGAGCATCCGACTTTGGCTTAGGTCATGATCTCTCGGTTCATAGGTTCAAGCCCCACGTCGGGCTCTGTGCTGACAGCTCAGAGCCTGGAGCCTGTTCCAGAATCTGTGCCTCTCTCTCTGTCTCTGCCCCTC